ATATATATATATATATATATGTATATATGTATGTATATATATATAAAAATCCCTCCCCTACAATGAAAACCAACCAAATAAACAAAAAACCTAAAAGTGTATACCTGCTTTCTGACTTCACAGAAAATCAGAAATTGCATAGGATATACTTTGTGCAAGGCAAAAAGCCTTTTAAGTATCTGGAATATAACTCCTAATCTTGCTCACAGTTCTGATATATCAGATATCATCAAATTTGTGTTTTAAGTAGTCTTTCATGACCTTGGCAATTGGTAGTTCATCAAGTAGCTTTAGGTTTTGAAGGCCTATACATTGTCGAATTTTAATTCGGCACAGGTCCTGCAAGTTTCGGGGCTGTCCTAAAAAGACAGAAAAAAGAAAATGTTACTTTGTTATCAAGCACAATATTTAAGATGGGCTTTGAGATTTTGAAAAGAACTGTTTATTTCACTGGGAGTGCTCTCTATGGATTTTAAACACCATAGATCAGAAAGGCACTGACTAAACGACATGTCCGTGTGAAGTCTCAGATAGTTCTTGTCACAATCCTCTACAATATGGTAGAAATTTCCATTTCCATTTTACAAATAAGGATACTCTGTATCAGAGATTTAAGTAAATTGTTCAATGTCAGACAACCTTAGATTGAGACTAAAAACCAGTTCTGAGTCTAAGCCTGGTCTTTCTATCACAAATCAAGAGAACTCTGGTTCTTGTCCTGATGAGGCCTCTAATCTGTAGACAAGCCTCTGAGAGCAAACTGTTTCTCTGGGCCAGAGACACTATCTGAAGAATACGCACCCAATGAGATACTCTCTTCCTCAAGCCCTTTCAACTCTGGGTCTAGGATGCTGGAGCCTTGATGCCTCTCAATCTCTGTGGAACTTTCTAAAGGACATCTGCCCACTTGTTCACTGTCATTCTAGACAGAGAAGAACCCTGGTTGTGAGGATGAGGGCTGAGAGGTGCAGCAGGCAGGGAGTGTGAACAGGCCTCTCCAGCTCGTCTGAATCTATGTTGCTTCACACCTCATACCCTAACCACCTGCCAATAACCCCTGCTTATCACCCAACTCAAAGGAAACAAAGTAAAATCCAATTTATTCCACTTTTGAATACATTCCCAAGCCATATAGATGGCCACAAACACAAGCGAAAAAATTTGTTTAACAGTGCTTCAACATATTTGGAGTCATGTACATTCTGCTTTCCTATTAAATGGTAATGATAATAAAAGCTAAAATATTAACTGCTTACTCTGTGCCATGTATTGTTATAAGTTCTTGACACGTATTAACTCCTTTAATCCTTTTATGAGGGAAGTACTTTGATCATCATCCCCATTTTACTGACAGTCTCAGAGAGATTAAGTAACATGGGTATGTATGGTCAGGTAGATGCTGTATTTCAGTGGTTCTTGAACTTTTTGTCTCAAATCTCCTTTACACTTTTAAAAATGATTGAGGACCCAAAAGAACTTTGATGTGGGTTATTTCTATGGATAATTACCATATGAGAAGTTAAAACAAATTTTAGAGATATTTATTAATTCATTTAAAAGTAATGGCTCAAAAACTAAAAAGAAATTGTGAGAGGAATGGCATTCTTTCACATTTCTGGAATGTTTTTTAATATCTGGCTTAAAAGTGGACAGCTGAATTTTCACATATGCGTCTGTTAATTGTACCATCTAGTCTGTGGAAAACTTCACTTATACTCAGGAGAGAAGATATATGAAAGGCTAATAATGTCTTAATATTATTATGGAAATCATTTTGACCTCATAGATACCCTGAAAGGGACCAGGGGACTGTAAGACTCCTCAGGCCACATGTGCAGAAACACTGCTATTCTTAGTAACCCCTTACTTGAATTATACTTGTTTATAGTGATCACCATTACTCAAATAATTCTTCACGAGTGAAAAAGGCTCCCAGTCCTCAAACTCAGACGACTATTCTAGAAGGCTTGGGTGAATGCTGCTTTCCAAGAGCATAGTGAACATGTGCATTCTTGGCAGAGTCACAGCAGAAGCAACTGCTGCCTTGGAAATGCCTCAACTTGGGGTATGTGTAACCACAGATGTCTGTAGAAGGATTCATGCAGGATGTGACCTATACACTCAAGGGGTCTCTGGACAAGATTGAATCTTCTCCATCTTCCAGATCTTTGCCAAAACAGCATTTCATAGGGACACTAGATCATGCTCCCTATGGAAACCCTTAGGGCTCCCCTCCTTTATAACCGGCTGTAATTTTACCTTTCCATGTTTGGGTCTTACATATTAATGCCCATCTTTCTCACCATATGACATATGTCATGAAGCCAGGACCATGTCCAATACCATTTGCCAATGTAAACCCAAGGCCTGACACAGTACTCAACAAATATTAGCTGGAATAAATGAATACTTAATAGGCTTTCCTTTAAAGTATAAAACAGTCAATATGTGGTGAAACATGCCTATAACAGCAAGTCATTTCCTAACCTGTTTTGAATTATTTTTCATCACCACTCACGGGCTACCTTGGGGAAGAGAATGAATTATCACTGTCATTTTTCAACAAATGCTTTTGTATTTGACCTGAAAATGCAAATCTGAATATGAATTAGATATGATTCTTCTTCTTTTTAAATAAAGAATCCAATTTTCCTGTTGGGTGTGGTGGCCCATGCCTGTAATCCCAGTGACTCTGGAGGCTGAGGCAGGAGAATCCAAGTTTGAGGTTAGCTTTAGCAAGACTCCATCTCAAAATGCAAAATAAAAAGGGTTGGGGAATGTAGCTCAGTGGTAGAACACCCTTGGGTTCAATCCCCAGTACTAAAAGAGAGAGAGAGAGAGGGACGGGGGTGGGGGATAGTTGATTTTTCTAATAGATGGTTGGTTCTTTTCAAGTATCATTTAAGCTAACATACATAAGTATACATTCATATAGAAAACATATCATCAACAAAGTGGAAAAAAACAAAATTCCTGGAATTTTGCTTAGCTCTATCCCTTAGAAAGGACTGGGAAAAAAGGTTATGTAATGGGGGTTCGTCTTAAATCGTGTTTGTGATAGACTGTCCTCCCCAAAGATGACTACAATTTCTCCTCTCCCTCATATTTTGTGTAATGTGGCTGGATACTCTTATCACTGACTGGGAAAGACTCAGGCATAGATAACAGAGAATGGTAGTATTTTTATCATCATTACACTCGGCAATACTACTACTACCCTTAGTATTTAGTGATTTCTCCTACCATTTTGTGGTTTAAAACAATTATTATCCCTTCTCTGTTCCATGCAGTGTTTTCTGGAGAGGCTTGACCAGGGCCTCCCCGCTTGCAAAATGGCTCACTCAGATGGCTGGTGCGTTGGTACTAGAGGTCGGCTAGGAGCTCAGTCAGACTGTCCAGATCCAAATATATCAGAACGCTGTTAATGGACATTTTAGGCCTAAATACATGGGAACACTTTGCTCAATTTGGTGGTGTTTCTTCTCCTTCAAGCAGTTATCTGGTATGTTTGGGGAGAATATGATCTTTATTTTCTCAAGCCTGTGTAACTCCTATCTTTAATGATAGTGATACATCAGAGTCAGACTGCCTGGGTCTGACTTCTGGCCCTGCGTCTGCATGATCTTGACCAAGGTATTTCTGCCTCAGTATCCTCAAAATAACTGCATCTATCTCAAGGGCTTTATAAGCATTAAAAAAGTTAATTTTGAAAAAGTGCTAAGAAGAGTGCCAAACACAAGGGGATTATTTGGTCAATGGGTTTTTAAATATTTGTAAAGATAAGGTTTGCTTCCCATTCCCAGAAAAAAACAGAAAGGCACCCTCTTTGGAAGGGAGAATCTTCATCTTTTTGATGTTAAAATAGTAAGAAAACTAATTAGTATAACCATTAAGGAGCAACTAGTTATTGGGAACAATTTATTACTCAGAAATAGTCCTGGGAAAATTGATGGAAACTGTATTCTGGAAATCACTGCATGACTTTTTTCTTTTTTTAACATTTTTAGTTGTAGATGGATACAATACCTTTATTTTATTTATTTATGTGGTGCTGAGGATTGAACCCAGTGCCCCATGCATGCGAGGCAAGTGCTGGTACTACCACTGAGCCACAACCCCAGCCCACTGCATGACTTTTAACTATATAAAAAGATATGATGAAATGAGGGATGTATTTATAGGTTCTGCACTTATATATAAATACTAACTCATCTTGTCATACTAGCATTGTTGATTTAACAGGGGGCTAAATAATAAAGAGTAATAAGGACTACTCATTGTAATTGTTGTTATTCCTAAACTATTCCAGGAGTCTTCAGGAATAATATTTTAGGAATAGATTATGATTAAAACAAAAATACTTAATTCTTGTCAACAGAACACGTAAGAGTATTTACTGAGCACCTACTATATACTAAACAATGCACTGTACCAAAGATTAAAGGGGCAGGGGAAAGACAGAATAGTAGAGGAAGAGAAAGAATGAAGATAATGAAGGCAAAAACATAAAGACAGATGTGTACATCATTTTCTAGGTTTTTTGAAAAGTAGCTCCCACTAAATAACAACTGTTTAGTCCATGGGAATATAAGAGGGGAAAACGTGAGAGAAACCTCTCAAAAAGGGTAAAAATAAGAAATTATAAATGCTTTGGGGGATGCAGAAAAATTCCAAGGTATTCAGACTAACCAACTACAGTGGAATTACATAATAGTTCAAAGGGTTATTAGTCTTTCCATTTGGTAAAGAAGCCCATCATTACTAGTAATTGGGCTGGTATAAAATAGGAAATCAGCTTTTAAAGGGTCCAGCTTAGTATAAATTACAAAACAAGAACCAGCTACCTCCTTTGACAGCACCATTACTATATTTGTGATAGATAAATCTATTTATTTGGATAAAAATATCTGGATTCATACAGGTAGACAGAGAGACAAAATATTTTAAATACCCAAGTGGACAACATTAAAGCAAAACAGATCCCAGGTTTTTCTTTGGGGGCTGGGGAGACTGGAGGAAGAGAGGAGTGTGTAAAGAAATAAAGGGAAAGATTTAGCCTCCTCTGGTTTGCACGATCTGTCACTCCTTCAGGAACCTCTCCATCTTAGGTCAAAATCTGGAATGGTCTCCCAATACATATCTCTGTGTTTTATCTCTACTTCCCATTTTTAAAACCCTACTATAAACACATGTTCTCCCTTTGTTCTTGCTTCTGAATTCCCTTCACTATGGGGCAGTATGAAATGTGCTACACAAATTTTACTTTATAGGGCCAAGGCAGTTTCTAGTTCTCTTAAAAAAAATTATGGCATAGTCTCTTAGAGTCCAAATGTATCCACTAATCAGTCTTCTGACATTT